TATCATATGACTGTCTCAATATGAACGGCGTTTCCTTTGAGTATACGTCGGTTACTTTTGATTTTCTTGTGGCCGTTTCCTTAATCAAAAACGGCGATTATACATTAAGTAGTATTTATCTTCCAGCGAATAGTATTGATGCTATACTTTATCATCCTAGTCGTTATCGACTCACCCATTGACATTATCAATTATCATATAATCCTCTCGGATTATCTTAGCCGTTACAGTAGATTACGGTATTTATCACTTCTATGATTTATCATGATCGACTTAGTAAATCATGCAAATCATTCAATATTATACATTATTAGTCTGCACAATATTGTAAACTGGTCCGCCTAGGCCTGGTCACAACGCATCTTTAACACAGAGAGCCAGTGCGGTTCGGCCATTTATACCACTGAGAAATTGTAAGTACGCACCGTCTGCACTCATTAATGGCATATCTGTGTAGCTTTAAATGGAGACAAGATTATAATGTAACGCCGATCTTGCTCAACAAAATGAATTATAAAATGGAGGTACTTTAAAATTTTGTTAAAATGTCCCTATGTCTTATGAAGGCAATATTTTATGTAGAACGCTTCAAACAGCGGTATACCACTTTAACCTACCATGGCTTCATGTCGTATGATGGTATAGCTATATCTGCAGCAGCTCACGGCTGATAATAAACCAAGAAACTCGTGTGATGAAATAAGAAAAATGACTGGAGGCAAGTCATCTATATATATACACACAATAGTGGTAATAATATCCCTAAACTAGAACCAATACGATATTGACTTAATCAACGTCACTATGACACATTCACAAAAACTTCCCTAAGGTCAATAAGCAGTTAATCTCCTTCTATGGTCTTTCTGGACGCATCCACTCAGTTTAAACATTTCTCCGTCAGCGTCGTTTAAATGTTCAAGGGTGCAGACGCCATGATATAAAATGATGTATTAAAGTGATCTTATCTTCGTTATCATGACAGTTTGGACAAAAGCTCTTGTCACGCAGTAAAATTAACTTTCCTAAATCGGAGTTGAATGTTATCAGTGACCATACTTTTTTTCCATGATCGATAGGAACTTTTTTCTTATCCAATTCGTTTTTATCATCGCCGATTCAAGAATCGATTCATTTGAGATCAGCTCAAATCAGACTGAATGAAATATTCGTGCGGATACTTATTTATGAAGCTTTCAGATTTCTTTGTTTCGGATTTAATGTAACGTGGAAAGATCTCGTTCTTCTAGATAAAAAAGAGAAGCCCATTTTAAAAACGCGTGCTCTGTGTATGTGTATAGGATATAACTACGGGAGGGGGCGGTTACATACCATGCATACACAAATTGAGATCGGGACCGCATATAACTAAAAAAACAAACCCAAAAACCATTGGCAACAGTGCAAAGGGTCGTATCTCGTAATGGTAATAGATGGTAATTGATGCATATAATACTAGTCTTGGTCACCCAAACCCTCCGTACGTTGTCAACATTTGGCATGGGCTATGGAGCTTTATAAACAAACATGAATCCTGCCGACGAATTAGGATTAATAAAACTAGATTTTTCTGAAATGGCAATTCTTAAATTAATTCCATGGGCGTCGACATCTTGTTTTAGGGCTAGTTAACTCCCTTAGATTTTGTTCACGATAATGTAAAAGACCGGATAATCTAGCCAATGACCTAGTTAATCTCAAATGTTGGCAAACCATCCGGACTAATATCCATAGAATATCTGAGTTGTAGAGACTACTATAATAATTGATATCAAATCCTGGGAAATAGACTATTTCAGTTTTGACCCAGGTCAAAACACTTATACATTTCACAACTAAATTCAGTTGTTAACAATATGCCATGTTTTCTTTGTGACAAATTTGTCATTAACCCCGTTTACGTATTTTGGATTGTGTATCTTGAAATATATATGTATGACAATGATTCCTTTTCTGGAAATGTAGTCGGTGGGTGTTATTTCTTTAGAAAGACATTAGGTAATTGCAAATAAACTATTTATATTTCAATTCACTTCAAAAGCTCTTCCAGGTAAAAGAAAAGTGTTTATTGGTTTTTATAAAAAAAAAAATGCGTGACATGATTAAAAGACTTATATCCTCTAAAACTTGACATTTAGGATTAGACAGTACATTGGAAGGTGAATGAGCACTTGACTGAAGTAATAACGCATTTAATATCTGCAACACTTTTCCGCGTTTGAATAACGTAAGCCATTAAAATGCCAGACACTGAATTATGTTTTGTTCACGTTTTGTTATTTCACATATTGGTTTGAAGTCTACAGTGTCATTTCAATACCGGCCATTAAGGAACAAATGCCCTTTATTACAATTGCGATATTTGCTACTATTCAAAACTTAAAAGTACTATTTACTATCTACAAAAATGAGCTACTCGTATAAATATCACTATTTAAGACCATGCATCACTGCTAATTTTGTTTGCAAATTTAGTAGGGATTAATGCCGATATTTTTTATGTGTACACACTAATATTGACAGCTTGTTCAATGTTCAACATATAGATAACATTATATGACTACATTATATAGAAACTGGCGCAATGATTTGGCAGCGATATCATCCTATTTAAGGAGTATATTGTCCTTTACTTATTCTCTGGTGAGTTTTAACTATTGGGCACAAGTTCAAAGAAGACATATTTCAATGTGAATTCATATTGTATTACTACACTTTTTATGTTTTCCGCTAAATCTCTAACACAATATCATCCAAAGTCAATTTAAATCAACACTGATGTTGTGAACTTACCGGGATACGATGGGCTTATGATATCCAATATTCTAGACAAAATAAACGTTTTACAATTGGTACACGAATCGTGTACCATAATGCGTTTCAGCGCCATTTGTAAGAAGAGGCTAGACTAGATCGAGGGTAGACATATTGCACAAGTCATGTCAAACGCTGAAGCCATATTCTTATCTGGAGGGCATAAGCAATACATACTATCGATGTAGACTGGAATAACCAGACGCTAGAGATTGCCATTCGATTGAGACTTTTGGCGTATTTGAAATTAGAGTAAAAACGGAAACGATTGAATGTAAATCAGTTTATATACTTTATACATTTGTGTCAATTTCTAGGTCCCAAACATTAGCGATTTAGTTCCTTTAAGTTGGTAGTGTTTGTAACTTTGCATATTTCACTATCTTTTGTTCATATACACTCAAGCTTTTAACATTCATGTAGTAACAATTACTGACTTAATATGGACATCGAACTGAGTATAAAGTCATCTTAGCCATCTTGGAACTCAAACTCCTTCAATCGATGTACAATGTCATATGAACAAGCATTCCTCGTACAAAAGTAAGAGCACAGACGCAGACAATCACAAAACCAAACGACCACTAAATAAAGATAAACAACCGATGAATATATTCAACATACAAATGACAAGTTGAGTAAAGCGAAACAGTTGACGAACACATTAATAACCGCAGAAAGTAAGTGTCTAGTAATATCAGGGAAAAAAAACCGAGTAGAACACCAAGTAGTATTGATGTTTAAGAACATTGAATTATTTATTCCGTATGATTACTGTCAACTTATCAAGTCAAGTCAATTCTTCTTATATTGAATTACAGCAAGAAGATACATTTCAGACACTTGACAAGAATGAGAATGACATGCAAAAACAAATACAAAGCGAGCTATAAAGCTTGACAACCAACCAACGTAATGCCTCTGAGTGATTCGAACAATTGCATACGTAAATAAAACTGGTCTCATTTGCTGAAACTTTACGGCGTTTGTTTACTGATATCCGTTACGTCTGTAGATTGGATTATGTCTCTTGTCGCCCATCTTGAATATGGTTTTGGGAAGAATTGGCTTAATGTTTAAAATTGTATTGGGTCTGTGGAGTAAATTCGGCTTATGTCACGTGTCGGTCATCTCGAATATGGTTACATATTTTATACATTGATATGTGGTCGTATATTGTCGTCGCCCACGTGGACGCTCTTGAGGCTAAGATTAATATCGGATTGATTTTAAATTTATACACAGTATTTAAGGTCATGAGACGAAGAAGCCTGTTGATTTTCACCGTTTCCGGTAATTACTGCCAGAGTTATGGCCCTTGACCACTTTATAAAATCTTGTGGACGCTCTAAAGTTAATATCCGATTGACTTTAAATTTATACACAGAGTTTAAGGTCATGAGACGAAGAATCCTATTTCCGATAGTTACTGCCAGAGTTATGGCCTTTGATCACTTTGAAAAATATTGTGGGCGCTCTAGAGGCTAACGTCAATATCCGATTGACTTTAAATTTATAAACTATGTTTAAGGTCATGAGATGAAGGAGCCTATTGATTTGCAACAATTTCCGATAGTTACTGCCAGAGTTATGGCCTTTGATCACTTTGAAAATGCTTTAAAGACCATAATTATCATCTGATTGATTTTATATTCATACACCGTGTTTACGCCTATATATAATCGTTTCGATTGACTTTAGATTGATAGAGTTTAAGGTCTTGAGACGAACATCTATATTGATTTTCAATGATTTTTGATAACTTAAACAGCTAAATCCATGATATTCTAATGATTTTCTGATAATTACCTAATGAGTTGTTACTCTTAATCAGATTTTAGTGTATTATAAATGTTTCTTAACCGACAAAAGTAAAAATATGCGACAACTCTTGTTGACTGCCTGGACGACTGGGCGTATGTTTAATTACATGGCAGCCTATCTTTTAAAATCTCTGAGGGAGCCGCGGTAACTCAATGAGTAAGACACTGGCTTGCTAACGAGAAAGTCTCCTGTTCGATCCCGGCGTTGGCCGAGGAAATTCTTCGGGATTTTCCAGCGTTGTTTCCCCTTTTCTAGGTACAGGAATCAAAGAATCTAAAGAAATGGGTCATTTTTCAAAGTTGCTCACCATGTAAAGTAAATGCCGTTATCTTACTATTATATCATTGTTCTTTTAATTTCAGACGGCTATGGTGCTCACGTGCAGTTTGATAAACATGGTGATGCTCTTGGTAGATACACAATCATGAACTACCAACGAAACAGAACGAGTCGTCGTTACGAATATCAAGAGATAGGAAGATGGTCAAAGAATTTGGATTTGGATTTGGATAAAATCATTTGGGCTGGTGGTACGGACAAGATTCCCAATTCCCGTTGTAGTGAACCATGCAAAGAGGGAGAGATTAAAAATATGCGTCAAGGAGATCCATGTTGCTGGATCTGTACGAAATGTCAGCCTTGGGAATATGTCAAAGATGAGAAAACTTGCGAGTCGTGCGGTATGGGCGGTTGGCCGTACACAAATAAATCAGGTTGCTATAGGCTTGTGATAGAACATATGACCTGGACGAGCATCTACGCTATTGTCCCAATGTGCTTAGCCGCCGTAGGAATCATGTGTACAAATTTTGTTATATTATTGTTTATTATGTATAATAATACCCCGGTTGTGATGGCCTCAGGCCGAGAACTTAGTTACATGTTGTTGTGTGGATGCCTCATTTGCTACCTTATGACTTTTGTGCTGTTAGCCATGCCATCTATCATTATATGTGCTTTACAACGATTCGGTGTGGGATTCGGATTTTCCATTATCTATTCGGCACTTTTAACTAAAACGAATCGAATATCTCGGATTTTTGAAAGTGCTAGACGGTCTGCAAAACGCCCGCCGTTTATAAGCCCAAAGTCACAGATTCTGTTAGCGCTCATTCTTATATCCATTCAAATTCTGTTTACAGCCGTTTGGTTGTTAATTGAAACACCGGGAACAAGACACCACATCCCAGATGAAAGAAAACCACTTATCATTTTAAAATGCAAAAGCGATGATATCTCATTTTTAGTTTCTTTAGTGTATAATATGTTACTCATAATAATATGTACTGTTTATGCTGTGAAGACGAGGAAAATTCCAGAGAACTTTAATGAATCTAAATTCATAGGCTTTGCTATGTATACAACGTGCATAATATGGTTAGCGTTCGTGCCAATCTATTTTGGAACGTTGAATTCTTTTAAGGTGGGTACTTTCAATTCCATTCTAGTTAAAAAAAAAAATTTATTGCAATATTGTTTGGATTAATCCCCAGGTTGAAGGAAGATCCAACATCTCCGATGAAGGATTTCGAGTAAAATCGGCGATGTCATGCAGTGGCATTGGCAATTTTGAAATTTTTATCGCATGTACAATTTGAGACAAATCTGCGGAAATACTATTATACACTTAATTTTGAAATTTTTGTGATTCTAGGATTTTCTGAATATGATATAGTTAAAAGTTATCTATATTTATCCCTATTAGGTTTCCTTGGATAATTTACTCGTTACATTAGTTCTAAAAATGGAGTTCATCTGCTTAGGTACACAAAACGAAAACAATATAATGTACACAGTTTAGTCAAATGACGGGACTTATTCAAGAAAATTAAAAATATTTGAAGAATGTGCTTTTGTATTTGCTGGGAGCTTAAATTTTAGAGCTCGACCAAAGAAAAACCATGCCCCAGGTTTTTAAAAAGTCAGTTAAAGTGATTAGTTGTATTTGTACAAAGATTTAGATGTATCCGAATGGTTAGCTTAATAATGAAGGACGCTATACCCGAATTCTTTTCACATAAATTACGTATATTACCGGCTCCCATCAACACTGGCTTGATTAAATGAAGCAATCATGGATATAAAGTAACAACCTATTACTATTCCACAGACAGCATTATTTGTTTTATAGTGTTACAAAGCATGCAGAAAATACATTTCGATGTCTAGATAGGTTTTATCTCCCCTCATGCTGAAACTCAGAATATGGACATTTCCAACAGATCTTCTCATTGTGTGAGCTATTAATAAGAGCAAATGACGTTCAAACAAAATGGCACATTGTTTTAGCGTCAATTCTTCTACTTAAATAAGTATATTCTGATAAAACTCTTATCTGTCGTATAAAAATCGATTCATTACGTCAAAACAAATCCACGAGCTATTAGAATTTCTTGACGCAAATAAATATCCTTTTTTTCGAAAATAATAAGTAAAAATGAATGTTTGTAATTTTGTGATTACGTAGAACCATTACCAGCGTTATATCCCGAGTTATTTAACATGTTTACATATCAGAGTTATGTAATATGTTTACATATTAGATTAAATTCTGTCGAATAATTCAAAATTAAATCATCCACATTGAAAGATAATGATTAATAACCATTATGAAATTCACTTTCTTACTGCAAAGCGTTTGTAAAAGAAAGTACTACAAAAGTTTGTCAATTAACTCCTCAAATTATGTGCAAACATATAGCCAGGGAGTGACGTTTTACCCAAAACAAATTGCAAAAGAAACCAATGCCGTTTGATTCAATGATACATATGTCAGGCAACATCATACTCAAATTCGTCGAATTCGGGCAAGGCGAAATAACGTAATTAACATAACTCAATATGGCGGTCTTCAGGAAGTTTCGGAGAGCGATATCTCGTAACCTTAGCAATTCATGATTCCGTCAGAACATTAACTAGTTAAGGACCCCTCAAAGAACCATATTCCTTTTCAGTCCATCCCTCAAAAGGGAGGGGAAAGATAGGATGTTAAAACGTGTTTCAAATTCCCGCATTACTTGATTACTTTAATTGTCAGTAAAAATTCGCGTAGAAAGATATGGTGTTAAATGTGTTACAAATTAACAATTGATATATCAGTCGACAATTTTACAGCTACAAGAAAGTTTACGTTTAATCGAAAATTCCAATAAATAATTTATTTTTAGGTTGAAGAGAAAATGCTACAGGTGGTAGATCATATTTAAATGTTGTTTAAATCTGTGATTTCATAAATTTTGTTTGCAGATAGATTAATATATGGAAGGTCCGCGCGGATAGAAAATACGATTTTGTGTGATACAGGTGTCCTGGAAACAAATGGGTTCACTTACATCAAACATCTGGTTCTACAAATTGTATTTTTCTCTTCTCAGCTAAAAGTAAAGAATTTACTTTTAGTTCGAGGGGAAAGTGCTACAGGTGGTAGACCATCTTTAAATGTTATTTAAATATGTACTTACTTAAATGAACCCGTGATTATATAAGATACCAGTCGTAGACTTGGTGTCCTTATCCTTGCTCCGTTAGGGTTCCCACACTATGGTCTATCCATCCGGGCGCAAAATGTTTTTGAAAAACTACATGTATATGTAAATTGTACTTTTTATGGTATATCATTGTGTTTCTAGCTTATGCACATATTTAACGCGTGGCATGCTTAACAATTCATCAAAACAGCGTAAATTATTCACGAGTAACAGGGGGCCGTAAACTACGCAAGAACATTAACTAGTTTAGACACCCTTGATACCACAAGGGCTGTAAACATGGATCCATAACCATTTCTGACCTATTATTAGGGCGCAGATTCTTAACCAGATATATCGAAACACTTTTAACCCCAGTGAAGATGGTGCAAAGGCAAAGGCAAATGAAAAAAAATGCGCTTAAAAAGGAAATGCTAGACAGTTGTTTGGAATTCTTAAAATTTAATTTTGAACCCAAACTAGAATCCAGTAACCCTGAAAACCTTATTAGATATATTTCAAAAGCAATATCCACATGGAAAAAATCGCCATTATGGATTGTATTTTATTGCCGTTTTAAATTTATACCATATGGATAATTCAAAGTTAGGAGTCAGAATTGAACCTCAATAACCCCAAAAACATTATATAGGACATATTACAAGCCATATCCAACGGAAGAAAATGACGATTAATTAAAAATCCGTCATTATGGAATTCATTTTAGGGCATACAAAAGATATAGTAAAAGCCATATCTTACGAGATAGTGACTTGTTATATACGGGGACAATGCCGGTACCATTTTGGAAAATATTTTTTTTTAAATTGGTTTCGTCAAATTTGTTATTTTCGGAACATTTTGCCTCTATTACCACTTTGTATTGTAAGATTTTAATAAAAATATGTTGTTCCGTCACTGAAACGCACTGGTTACGAGATATCAGTCTCAGAAACTACCTGAATTATGTTAATTAAGTCACTTCGGCCGAATATGAGTATGATGTTGCCTAATGTAAGTATGCTTGAATGAACCAAACTGGATTGGTTTCTTTTGCAATTTGTTTGGGATCAGTCCACTTTTGAGGTTGAGGTTAACTTATCCCGCCTAATAGTAAACATAGGCATATACTGCTTCGTACATCGATTGTATTTATTGCTAGTAAATAACCATTAATTACATTACATTACATTAATTTAACACTACGCGCATGCCTTGCTTTATTATCCAACGGGGGTTAGCGTGAGAAACGTCCCCTCGTCAAAAAGTTATGCCAATTCACGACTAAGATATGGTTTAATTTTTGTCAATAGTTTTCAATATCTATCGTAATCAGTATAATATACCGAATTTAAATACTGAATTATGCGCATGAATACCATTAAGGTAAAACAAAAATTAGTTCGGTCACGCTGTCCCATTTCAAAAGATTGATCACATGTAGGGTCAAACTTAAACTATTCGTTTAGTTTGGTTTCGTAAAGTATATTTGCAACAACAACCATACTCGTGTTACTCGCATTCGTCAAAATGGAAAATACGAGGATTAGGTTAGAATTTGACAAAATTATCACCCACTGGGTCAATCAATCTAGATAATTCAGAATCCGAAATTTACTATCTACCTAGAAGCAATGGGTAGCTAAGGGACCATCCACAAATCACGCAGTGTTGTAGAAGAGAAGACCCGATTAAAAAGTATAATTATAAAGCAGTAATGTTTTTAAGGCATGATTATACAAGACTAAGCCTAAACTCATTCGTCTTCTCTGTCTCTGGGCTCATCCTTTTTCCTCTCTCTTCGCGCATATCGATTCTGGTGTTTCCAAATTCCACAAACAATTTTCAACTTGACTGTTCCAATCGATAAAGAAAGCTGAAAGGTGTGCAAATAAAGAAATATAAAAAATGGGTTGGCTGGCACTGGAGGCTTCACTTCCTTCCATAACAACAACTGCGAGTCTTGTGAAGACTAAAAACGTGGCATAAACCTATAGAAGCGTTTGAACGAGAGTAATAATACTGTCTGTTAACAATCAAGATGACCGAATTTCGTATAAATAAATATTTTTATTAACATGATACTTTACATGTATAGGCTTAACTTGACATGGCTGCTTTCTATAGCCGTGAAAGTCCCAGAGGCTCGGTGGTTAAAGTGCTGGTTTACTAACCTGGGGTCCTGTGTTAGAACCGGTTTTTGCCGGGAAAGTTCATCGAATATTCTGGCGTGGTTCTCCCTTGTTAGTCAAGCATAACAGATTAATCGTTTGGGTTGGACGAAAATCCGAGGTCACGTGTGCACATTGGCGTACACGTAAAATAGCCCTTGACAGTTGAAATTCAAATGCTGTCCGTGCAAAAATATCCTCAAAGCACAATGAATGGTTTCATTATCCCCGTTGTTCCAGAAAAGTAAGAAGTTAACCCCATTTCATTCATTTCAACGGTTAATGTCCACTTCACTAATTACTAATATGTAATTAACAAGATCGCAAACTGTATTAAATGACGTAGCTCGAGGTTGTGAAGCCTAGTTTATCCTTGAGCCGACTCAGACTGTCTCCCACCCCCACCCCCTTCCTCCCCGTTCCTCCCCTGATTTGCTAACACACACACACACACCACTTTTTTAACAATGCACAATGAGATAGGCCATAAATGCCCCCCCCCCCCAAGCCCAATGGCAAGATACTTTGCTGATGGAAAATACGCCCCTTTTTCAATAGGCTGTATGGAGTACGAAACCATGGAACTGTAAGAGTATTTTTTTTATTAAATTCTGATAGATCGTGACGTATATCGACAACATATGAGTTTTGTCGACAACGTATCGACTGTTAAATCTGAAGAGTTTTGTGACAAGCTGCAATAATGTGTACATGATGTGAAAAAAAATACTCCCATTGAAAATAGTGCAATATAATTTATGAAGCTCAAGAAAATAATCTCGATATTGACAAGGAAATTGTGCAACCCGTGGATGCCATTTTATTTTTTTTAAATCTTTACAAAAGTCTGAGATAAGCTCTAAAGTCTTCAATCAATAAAACTCATTATCAACAACTGAGTGTAAAGCATGTGGAAGTTTTCGTCTTAAAATTTAAACAGATTGGATTATTTATTTTAAGTACAATTGCTTGAGAAGGTCACTGAAACTAAAATAAAATCGTTATGAATTGTTCTTTAATACGTCTGGGAATAGAACAAGCAGACGTTTCATTAATATTGAATTACGTACAGAGCCTACCTGCTACACTGTTAGACCAAGTTTTCCAATAATTTGATCAGTAGCAAACGCTTACTCTTTCTGCCCCCCCCCCCCCAAGAAAACATTTTTTCTCACGATTAAATAATGAAAAAAGATTAATGTTTATACACAAATATTTCTGGACAGTTTGTCACCGCCCTGAACTGTCCGTCGGTCACAATTTTCTTGCCAACACTCCAGGGTTCGTGGTTATCTTCCTATTCCTTCAAATTAATATGCAATGTTTACAGAAGTGATGGAAATACGCCGATTGATATTCAATTAGGTCTGCCCTGTTTCACTATATAGCTTACCATCCAAGTGTTATTTGGGACTTTCAGAGATATGGACCTCGATATGGAAGTTGAGCAAACATGTCGATAGTCAACACTTTCGCGAGACAGTATAATTTTTGATTACGACGTAGACTAGGACGTCAAGGCTGCTGCATTTGATGTATGTTTTTTTGCCTTCCAACCTGTGTCTCAATGTATTTATTGTTTTTGTTTTTCATTTCAGATTCAAATCACTACACTGTGCGTCTCCATATCATTGAGTGCGTCTGTTGCCTTGCTTTGTCTTTTTTTCCCCAAAGTGTACGTCATTGTCTTCCAGCCGCAGAAAAATGTGAGAAAGCTAACCATGAATTCGGCGAGTTATAAACTGGCACAGACAGGTTCAACTGGAACATCTAATAATTATGGTAAACATATTTTAATTCATTATTCCATCATTCTCTGTAACGTGTTTGTAATTATGGGTTCACATTTATTCTGGATTTCAATGACGCTCAAACCTAAAGAAAGGTGCTAGTGTTTATGCTTTAGTTATGTAAGGCCGACATTTGATAAGTCACATTCGAGAAATCGCAAGCTGTATATCACTATTAAATCTATACTGTAAACTAAATATGACGAGTATAAATCATTGAAATGTCTAAGCAATTAAACAGATAAGGGTATATTTTTGGTGAAGGTGTTGATGATTACATTATCTCATTGACCATGTCTCAGTGGTATACACTGGTGCATGATTTAAAGACTCTAAATTGCCCTCTTAATATAAACTGTCATTGACAAAACAAAAATAAGATTTAAAACAAAAACCACACAAAATGAAAATATTGTCGTGCCATGAGTTTCCCAAATAGTATCCTTAATACGTTGAACGAAATGGAAAGGCATAAATACAAAAATATTAATAGCCGGGTGTTACGAGTTCAATTAATATACAAATAGGATGAAAGAAATGAAAAAAGTATATACGTTGTGATGCTTCACGGTGTTTTAGTTTAATAAGTTCGTCATGCATTGCCTTACTCTTGCATCTGTGTTGGTGAGTCTGCTATGCGTCGTGGTATTACCCTTGGAATTGATTTCTTACTCGACAGCTACTTGCCATTTGTATTAAACAGTTCCTACAGCTGGTGTGATTTGAAATCCTTATCGATATATAAGCATCGACTCGTTTGAACCCGTTTGGCGAAGATTATTGGTGTCTTTCAAGATTATAAAATAGTGCGTCATGTTGCATTTTAGACACCCTCTAAATTCTACCCCACAGTATAATGTGTTCAGCTTTCTTTGCATTGGAGTTATTTTGAGGTACACCAAGAAAAAATGCACACACTATATATGTGGGTTATCCTTAAAGAATCGACCCATCGTTATTCCTTTGGAAATGAAATGAAATGGGGTTTAACGTCCTACTGTTCTGCTCATGTTCCAAACTGGGCTAATGAAGACGGACAACGGCATACAGTGTGATATAAGGGAAATTTTTCCCGGTTAGCTGCACTACGGCCTACTCTTATATCGAATTCCAACTGTCAGGGGATCTTTTACGTGCACCCCAATGTGTCCTGCATCACTGACAAGGGGGAACCATGCCGGAAAATCTGGATGAACTTTTTCGGCCAATGCAGGGATCCAACACCCGACCTCCAGGCTAGCGAGCTAGCGTCTTACCCCCTATTCCTTTGGGGTCCTTTTACCTATGCTTATGTACTGCATTCAATCACAGAAAAATAAATTACAAACCAATGCTTTTATGGTCGTTTGCATTTTATGACATATTTATATTTGATGAATATGAATTCAAAGCGTGGTCAATAGGACGCGGATCGGAGATTGAAGCGCTGAACGGTAATTGGGTTGATTCTTTTTCGTCCTTCTCTGATTAAAAGTTTCGTATCAGTAAGAGGATGCCGAAGGCTAGGAAAACATAAAAGTTCTTAATCGGTGATTTGTTAGGATATTGTTGGCCTATATAATGTAGTACTCGGATGTGTATCGCATATTTAAGGAAATTTGGTTAGAGAAATCGGACATTAGAAACGAAAATAAACACATTTCGATGGACTGCCCACATAAATAAAATTTTAAAATTTTCTTGAAAATATATTTCTGACGAGGGATTTTATTTTCCTGAGCTTGAGGACTGGGACTTGTTTGTACTGAAGAGATACTTCTTCAAACGGGGTTTGTGGCGTAAAGACTAATGAAGTATTTACCCGAGGATGAGGGACTTTCATGGCATGATTTGGTGCCCCCGTCCCCATTTGAAACTCGTACCAGTTATTTTGTAAAGGACAAGTATACACTACCATACCCCGTTTGAATTTGTGTTAGGAAAAGAAAATGTGATTAAAATGTAGCTGTGTTTTTTTTTATCTATTTTCAGCAAAGATTTTATATGTAAACAAAACCGGAAAAGGGTTTTTATAAGTTTGGGATGTCAATTCGGAAAGTATTACTGATAAATTTATGTTATACATTTTTTAAAATTTGGATTAAATTAGATACCTAAACTATTAACTATTGGCATGCAGACGCCTGTGTATGCTCAAACCCATAGACTAAATGTAATTTTACGAGAATTCTTTCTATTTTTGACAACCGACAATGGCGCCTAATTTAGACCAGTAAGTAACGAAACATAAACGTCTTCTTAAAAAATGGGTTGACATGGGTCTAGTATCATCAACGTTTCTTTTTATGGGAGATATATGACGGCTATCAGTTGAAAAATGTAAAATGATCACATACATATCAATCAAAAATGAAACTATTCTGACATCGATCATTACTAGAGACAGCATATAAATTTTATACGTTTTAGCAAGTCTATTATATCACAAAAAGTAGTAATATTGTTGATTTACATTATTGTGTTCCCCGAAGGGTATATAAAACATAATTGTTATTGGTTGTTATATATTTTATTGTATGACAGACATGAGAAAGCTATTTTAGTATTGTTTATTGTCTGGTGAATACTGGTTATTTACGGAAAATACAAATTGTACACCATATTGTAACTTTGATTTTAGACATTTATTACAAATCAAAGTCGTGATTCTGAACACGGGATCGATATGAAATTTATTTTAGACTTTATTGCAAATGTCAAAACCGGGCATTCGTTAATGATATGCTCATATATATTATAGGTTGGCGTTCTTGGTGCTATATAAATCTATGTGTTATTATGGTTGATGTCGTACACGAGTTATGGTATGCGTTACCTACCATTTGAAGTTTCATCGATATGAAATTTATCTTAATTTCTGGCATAGTACACTATATGGCGTATGTACGTCTTCATTAGCCCAGTCGTTGCAGAAAATTAGGACATTAAGCCCTTCTAATTTCTATTTGTTCTAATCCAAAAATAGAAATCAAGAAAAATAAACGAACTAAAATCGCAATCAAATATCAGTTAAATTATTTTCAAATAAACAGCCAAGAGAAAACAAAAATATTTATTGCTAGTTATACCCAGTATATCCTTTAACATAAAAAAACCACACCCAGTCATAGCAATGAAATGAAATGAAATGAAGTGGGGTTTAACGTCCTACTGTTCTGCTCCGACTAGACTAATGAAGGCAGGCCCCGACATTGCAAAACAATATTGACAACGAACCACTGTCGAACAATGTCTAAGTTCTTACAGTTTATGTGTCTAATAAAACCATCCGGACATGTTGCATAGAATAAAAGTTAAACCATTGTCGGGTCTGGCTTTAATCGATATGACCTTGCGGAGGGGCAGTTGGTTTCCGCCTAGATAGTCATAACGTCTAATGATGACCAGACATTGTGATCTGTCTGTCATTTCTGCTCATAGACTCCTTGACAGACAGACATGAATAATTAAGGGTTACTATTAATGTGGACAGCATGTCCAATATCAATACAACCTAAATATTGAATATGTCCACCTATAATCAATACTGTTAAAATACTCCGTACATCTTGGAATAAACATTAGAAAGGTTGTCCATAATAACATAGTTTTATTTATGTCCGTACATACATAGGTATCCGATTATTTTTCTTCACAGTTCCATTTGTATGGGTATGTGCCGATTTACATACAGATCCAAAGCATTTCTCCTGTTAGATATGCTTGTATTATTTAGCTTATTATCTCTTCATATTTGCAAAGATTAAATGTCTTTGTTGCACTGCCATAAAGGTACTTGGAATAATCCTGCATATTTAATGACCTCGTGTCCAATAACCTTAGTCATGCTACTACAAACAAAGATGTAACAGATGAATTAAGAGATTTGACCAGTAGTGTATTGTCTTTCTAAACATACTATCCCAACATTGAATTTCTGGCTACGTGACTGGTTCATTTTGCATAGAATCATCCTTGACATTTTTCCTATCGCAAAAAAAATCAATCTTCCTGGGAGTCTCTTTTTTCTAGAAAAAAAATGCCACACGGAAGTAATCGATTTATTTTTAAGAATAGAGGAGAAAGCAGTATAAAGGGAAATTTAATTCATTGACTTTAATTTGAGGATCAGGATGTTTTTATTCTGAATCTAAAATGGAGAATAAACCAACAGAGTAGAGTCTATTTGGTCTTAATCGTTTTGCTAGTTGCATTAAGTAATCAATTGTTCAAGATGACAGGCAACTATTCAGAGCTGTTTCCTGTTAGCCATCGATCCGTATTCTTCATCACGAATATTAAAAGTTTAACCCTGGTCGTAAAGCAAGCCATGAAACGTTCTCTTTATGGCGTTACAAATTTCCAAGTAATAAAACTTTTCACATTAGTGATGACTCTCTAAATACATTTGAATAACAGATCTGTGCTCACAAAAGACCAATAAAGAGAGAAGCAAAGCCGTAGTCATGTACACTAAAATCAAAAATCTGATTGGTTTATTATCCGCTTGTCAAATGTCAAGAGAGAATTAAAAGACGACATGGTTAAGACACGACTTTATTAACCCACAAACAATTTGAGTTGTGGGCTATGGGAAACTAACATGGACCGGCTATTAGCGTTTATGCATGATTGCGCGCGCCTTTCAAGATATCAGTATAAGATATTAATTAAGTGAACTCATTGAGGTTTTTTTTCATAACATGAAAATCAATGAAACAGTCGTATGTGGTGGCTACGAATGTAATTTTGGAAAAGATGTACGAATGTAATTGACTACAGTGATGAAAAAGTCATTCAGAATTTCAAGATAATTAAAAAAATCAGATATAATCGCATTTCGGTTTTTTTTATGTCTGACTACAATAACCATCAGACACATTTTCTTTCAGGCCACTCGAATTTAGTCGCCAATGGAACAGCCTATTGGTATACAGGGCTGCGTTTTGTGATGCACTACAGGAATTTTAAAACTCCAGTGTTTACGAGTGATTCAAATACAACTGATTCAAATAATATAACTTAGAAAGTAGCGTTGATTACAATATTGCGTAATGTCAGAACAAATATGAAACCAACTGCAATTGTAATCTAATTTTAATTAGATTGGCTTTGAGAAATGTTATCAAAATAATTCCACCGCGTTGTTCGATTTACGATTGATCGAATTGTTAGATGTAAACATCATATATGTTTCATTTCCCATCCATGTTTATTTTTATACTGTTAATGTGTCGCTTCACAACACAATTGAATGGTAAAATAACACATAATTTCAACACCTATATTTTACATTGTTGACACAGTCTTAATCGAAGAACAATTATTTCCCTTCGTTAAGAAATGTTTAATTCGTTTATCCCTTATCTCGTTTCAGCACCGTCATCGGAACACATTAGGTTAAATGTTCAGCAACGATTTGGCGCCGGAACGACTACAGAAACGGAGACAGACCGGGATAGTCTGGCATCATTATAAGTAGGACAGACAGATAGTGTTTAAATAAGCTCCTATTTAAGAAGATAGATAACTTAGTGATGTGATTCCTGTAGGGACCAAGGGACGTTGCATTAAGAGGAATACTAACTATATCATGTGGGCTTGTGCTGGAGAAACAAGACACAAGTCTTTGCTAAGGTTGAGGTTAAACTTTATTTACCACCGATTGGTTGCTAGTGGTTTGAAAGAGGCAGTTGATATGCTAGTAGAATTAAGTTAGCTTCATTAGGAATAATCGTCACTGTGTTAATTAGTGCTGAGATTTAATCAAATAATGCGCCAAATGGCAGCAGTTATCAGATAGAGACAGATGAACCACCAATAGCAACATATATTAAAGGGAATTGATGTAGAGTGTTCTGTGGACGAACACGTTACTTTACAGATTACAAATAACTATAACAAGGAGAATTAACATTTTGTGTTTTAACCGTGGTTAAATGGTAAAATTGGCTTGCTTACAATCATTGGATAACACCTTAAGACACTTAAAGTAAACAGTGGATGCCGTTTACATTATTTCAAAGAATCACATACTTGCACCCCCCTAAAAGAGACTTCATCTACAATGTTAAATTATATTAACACTGATTAACATATCGGTTAACGAATTTAATTCCATTTTTCGATTAATCAAAATATATAAATCATCGAAATTAATCATTTTTCAGACAATTATTTAACAAAAGAAATCACTTAACATATTACAGATTGCGGTTTACTTATGTAATGAAAATAATATTATGGTAGATGTAGAATTGAAATGCTGTATTTTTTATACCTATTTTGAAATTGTATGAGACAGATGACCTAATGTTTCAACTTAATTGTTGTAATCGATCTTACAATAATTGAAATCTATGTTAGTTTAATTTGATCGTAAGCTAGCTTAGCCGCAGATGTCGATTAGGAGCGAATAAGTGTCTTCAAATAATTATTGATTGGCTAAAAAGAGTGGTCTCCATATTTGTTTTAATCTTCTTTGAAAAATCTTACTGACAATAATGCTTTACTCATTCCAATTAACACTAACAAAGTGACATCACATATTCAATAAAGAAGCTAGAATACAAAACTTGCTATTTCAAGAACCTAAACAAAGATTGATATACACTTCAATTGGTTTTAAAACAATTTTGGTTCTGGTCAGAAAACTCAAAATAAAACATAACACCGGAAACTGATAGTAAATGGTGGCTATAAAAGTGCTATAGTAAATTAGTATGTATAAGAACAAGCCAAATTATTTAAAAACAACTCGATAAAAATGAGCAGTTTCAATATATAAAGCTATAAATGTGTACAAATCGAAAGAAAGTCGTCGTTCACTAAAGGAATGAATGGCTGGAATAAGGTTTAAAGGAGCTAAATCGTTATTCTTCGGCACCTAGAAATGGACACACATGGGCCGCAACGCATATAATAATGTAATATGAATGTATATAAACTGATTTTCATTCATTCGTTTCTGTTTGTACTGTAATTTCTAATCAGTTAATCAGAAGCCCATCTTTTCAAGATAATATAACAACACTAATATTGATTTAAATTGACCAATAAGGCGTGTTTGCAATTATAAACACTGGATGATATTGAGTTGGCGACTTGGCTCTTTTAACAACCTACTTTCCTGCACCAACTTGGATAACGAGGATGGTCATCTAATCAGTTGATTGTTACCAAGAACACATTGAATATTTGGAGCGACTTATCATTCGTCAATGAAAAAATAAACGTACTCATTTACAATCTACAACTAGAATGACATTGACTTAACCATGGAAAATACATGGTTTATTCATATCACATATCTTGTAAGGCTTGTGTCGATATTTGACGATATCGCATGATGTTTTGCAACTAAGAAACTATATGAGATAAAGGATGAATTTTAATATTCATTACTTTAATTGTGTATGGAACAATCACAAATTTTGTGGTGGTCGCAATATAATCTGTGAAGTGTATTTTACCAAACTCAGTAAGTACCAGAAAGACCATTTTATATTCCTTATGCCAATATCAAATAAGTGGGATAATATAAATCGAAAATAAACACCAAAGGAATATTGGATTGTATATAATGTATAGTGTTTACGAAAGAGATTTTCACGTGAAATTATTTCTGGTGACCCTTCTGTTCATCATGAAATGACCCCAACGAGGGATTTTAACGAGTTACAAAACTCCTTAAAGATATTTATAATTATGCGATATCCATATTATACACTATCCCTGTATTGTCATTGCGAGATAAATGTACATTCTATAAATACACGCGATTGTCAAATGTTCTACGTCATAACAATGTGTGCATTATGGTGCTACGTGGTTCGATTAAATCGATTTGCTCTGTAAATGCTATATCATGTATAATTCTTGTAATTGTAAATAAAGGTATTCCCCACTGTTTTGTGAAATTCCATATTACTTCCTTTTAAGCACGCTTAATGAGGCATCCTGTAGATTTATAGAATGAATGCATGCGATGTCATTTTCTGGCCCATAACTGGAAACGGGTTTTGTTGTCTCATGTACAGTAATTATGTACATGCATTCTGTGGTAATATGGCTGATGCATTGTTCCTACGCATAACCCAGCAGTGGAGTTTGAACATACCGTGCGTGTACGAGTCGGAATATGTTTTTTAAAGTACATTGAACCAATTATTATTTAAGTGGGTCTTTTCCATAGATAAATCACTACTTCGCCAAGCATGACGTTGCGTGCATGCATTTGATGATTCGGGTTGAGAAAGAAAAAATTTCTAATCTGTTGTGTTTCATGAAAATAGAAAACATGCTTTAGCGGAATATGCTTTCTAAAGTACATGGAATCATATATTATTTAATTGGGTCTTTAACATAGCTAAAACACTGCTTCGTCAAGCATGACATTACATACATGGATCTGACAATCCATCTTGAGAAAGTATCATTTTGTCATCTGGTGTGTTCCATTTAAAAACCTATACTGTAGCAGAGCATGCTTTCTAAAGTACATGGAACCAATTTTATTTAATTAGGCCTTTCACATAGCTAAAACACTATTTCGTCAAGCATGATGTTGCATTCATTAATCTGATAATCCATCTTGATAAACAATCATTTTGTAAACTGGCCTGTTCCATTTTAAAAAGCCATACTGTAGCGGAATATGCTTTCTAAAGTACACGGAACCAGTTGTTACACTACTTCGTCAAGTAATGCTGCATGAATGAATCTGACAATTTGAGAAAAAGTCTGATGTGTTCTATTTAAAAAAAAATCCTATGTCTAACAATTATGTCACAAGAATTTATTTAAAATATATAACCCAAATATTGGACTGGATTATTCAAATATTACAAAAATATTAAATACAATACTGAACAAAATACCTTTTTTCGTGATTGAAGCTGATAAAATACATAAAAAACAATAGATAGTATGTTCCTGTACGAAACATGATACAAGACCACCGCCGAGGCCTAAATGTGCTCAGAAGCATGAAATTGACCAAACTGAAAACGATGGGTTCTTTCATTGTCAAATACTATTTTGCGTAAAAAAATTTGCATAAAATAATTCGTATCGTGTTTATAGACACTATAGAACATGTTCTTACATAATGATGTGATGGTAGCAGAAGCTGTTTAAAATGGTCCAGTATCTTTCGATGATAAACATTTCTTTAATCAGTATAGCAGATTAACAGTGGTGGTGAAAAGACCTTCTATGGAGGACGAGGCATTCAAATCATAAAAAAAGATCTCCTGGTTTCATAATTTATAATCTCTATAATACATTCTTGAGCGGTAAACACACAAGTCGAATCAATCGCCACCGAAATTCGCTTAGTGCGTCCAGTGTCATTCAACCGAATTTCTATTCGTCCGGCTGATTCGCCCAAATCAAACATGTATGATATGTTCTGCCGAATATATTCGCCTAGTGTGTCCGGAAATGAAATGAAATGGGGTTTAACGTCCTACTGTTCTGCTCCTATACAGGGCTAAGGGCTAATGAAGACGGGCATACCCCATACAGTGTGCTATGAGGGAACTTTTGCCCGGGCAGCGGCACTATCGCCTACTCTTATATCGAATTCCAACTGCCAAGGGATCTTTTACGTGGATTCCAATGTATACACGGGACCTCGGTCTTCCGTCTCATCCGAAGGACTAGACAGCTGTCCTTGTCAGGCCCTCCGTTCTGCACTACTGACAAGGGGAACCACGTTTCTAATATAACACATTCGCTAGACGTCCTATACAGATAGTGTGCGTAGAGGACAGATTCTGGTATAAGCACAACTTTGTGCTGCTAATCCACATTTGAAGATGGTTGTTAAAATTAAGGGCGTAATCTACTGGTGAATCGGGTGGAGAATACGCATAGTGTGTTAACTCATTCGGCTGCATGATTCGGCTAATTATGTCCACCGCTTAAGAATGTATTATAGAGATTTCAGAATCTATCCACCTCTTCGTTTCTAATATAACACATTCGCTAGACGTCCTATACAGATAGTGTGCGTAGAGGACAGATTCTGGTATAAGCACAACTTTGTGCTGCTAATCCACATTTGAAGATGGTTGTTAAAATTAAGGGCGTAATCTCAATTTTGGTCGAGTAATCGGTTGGGGATCTGGTCACCTGGGAGTATTTATGTTACAACCCGTATCGGTACGACCATATTTTAAAGATAGTTCGGTATAATTATGTAACTTGGATATTTGCTTCTCTGCTCTGGTGTAAACTAATTAATGGGTTTAAAGGGGTTCCAATCTTATTGTATATTGTCAGACGTTCAATTGACTTTCTGACTCAACTTTCAAACGCCTTGATTAATCTGTGACCCAGCAACCAGACGATATCTCAAATCACCAGAAACTCGCTAGCGGATGTATACGGTGTCCAAATATTGATTCACATATAAAGATTTTGTAACAATGTACGATACAAGAAAAAAAAAAATCAAAGTCGTATCTAAATATAGATCTTTTTTTTTCTAATATTATATTTTCTAGACCAGAAAGTAATTAAAAAGGAGAAAATATTGGATCACTCAGAGACGGTTATTGTCCAGCCTATATGTCGTATAAATCATTTCTAGCATAATATGTATAATTTTCATGGATGACATATGCATATAACACTGTGCAACAAAGACGGACATTACCGTTAATTACAGTTTACACGCATATCAAATAAGTAAATTTATAGTCCTTGCTCTTACGTTTAAAACAGTAAAATAATTCTTAGACTAGCCTTACATTAGTAAAATAGTCTCTAACACTTACATGTATTCCTTGCACTCTCCTTACATAATTAGTCCTTATTCAATTAAAATAGTTTATACAGCACTTACACTTATCTTACACAATTAAAATAATTCCTATACACTATCTTCCACAACTGAAATAACCATTGCACTTATTTTACACAATTAAAATAGTCCCTATTTACTTATCTTACACAGTTAAAATAGCCTCTACACTTATCTTACACAGTTAAAATAGCCCTTACCCTTATCTTACACAATTAAAATAGTCCTTACATTTACTTTACTTAATTACAATAGCCCTTACACTTATATTACACTAATCAAAATAATCCCTATTCACTTGCTGTGCATCCGTGAAATATAATTCATTGGAAATTAAATGAAATGGGGTTTAACGCGGTGTGCTGGGAGAGAAATTTTGGCCGGACAACGGTGCCCCAGTTTACTCTTTTCTAACTGTCAAGGTTTATTTTACGTGTACGCGAACATGTACACATGGCCTTGATGTTCCATATCACCAGAACGACTAAACGGTCTTCTTTGGTACACCCTCTGCCATGCACTACCGACAAGGGGAAACCATATTAGTAAATAAAGAACAGTTTCTTGACAGTTTACATATTTCTCAACCGAAAGTAGCATAGTAACAATTCTATGTTCTCAATCGTGTATTTTGTACACGGTGAACAGTCTATATGCTGATTACACTATTTTGCCTGATTACACTATTTTGCCTGATTACACTATTTTGCCTATACCGTTTTTGTCTAATGGTTTGGATTGTTCGTATTTGGTTTTATTTTATTTTTATAGTAACAATTCTATGTTCTCAATCGAATATATATTTAATAATATGTCATCGATTTTAATCAATGACGTTAGAATATTGTTGGTTTCTTTAGATTGATTTCAAGCTAGTATATTAAATAATAATACTAATATTCTGAAAACTTCTTCCACGTAAACCAGGTTATCATTGACATGAGCTTTTTTGTGTTCGGATTTCTTTAATTATATTTAACAGCAGCTTTTATAGTAAAATAGTACATATTTATAACTACTCAGATACATATGAACCATTTGGGATGTTCGCGATCTATAATATTGGTTATATTTTCTGGCATTTGCTCTTTGATCTGCTTTAAGCACCATCATGAAAGAAACTAGATGTAAAAATTTCGGTAGTATTCCAGTGGGCAATTCTTGTTTGTTGGTTTCGCCTCATTACACCATCTTTTGAAGTCGTGCTATGAGAATATTTCGTAATACCGGACCTCCAAATTTCGAAAAGAAGACCACTAAAAAGCGTTTTTAGTTTTACGACAACAGGTTTCTCACATTTGTCAAATCACGTTATTGCCAATAATCCACTGTCGTTCATTTTTTCCAAGCAATAGTTTTGTAACCCTTCAAACTGTGGGATTAGGGAAAATAAGTTAATTGTTCAGAAGGATTGTGCAACTGCATGTGTTTAAATTTTTTGTTGCTAACACAAAGGATAAATCTATTGAATAATACGATAAAGTAGTTTAACCCTTGTTCTTCTTGACATCATAAACTATGATCAAACAAATATGTTCATGCCTGTGTGTTGGAAAGGTTTTTGTTTCTAAGCTTACTGAACGGATTGGCTTAAAATTGTTGGCTTAAGATAACGTATTACTGTTTGTGGAAATTTACGTTTTTAAGTAGAATATAAATGTGTTTATCAGAACAGTTAAGCTGGTTTCGCTTACACACACTCTCGTGGCATAAAAACGCCGGCGTTTTAAAGCTACATGTATATAGCTTATTTCAATCCCACGAAAGTTTCGCGACTCTTCAAAAACAGTAGGGAATATTCAGAAAAAATACAAAACTGCGGAAATGCACTGTATTAGAGGTAACCAGTGTATGTTAATAACAGGCCAATTGTCTACACATGAACATAAACAGTTCATATGGGCGGCTTATCTGACGGCCCCATTTCACTCGCAAAGAGATACACTGTCAAAAGTGAAAATGGACGTTTTTGATTTTTGTCTTAATAATGAGTAATTGCTCCACCAATTCTCAGACATTCAGCAATTCGTCGTGGCATGCTCCCAATCAACTGTCCAATCACGATTTGGGGCAATCTGACCCACTCCTGAC